ATCCAGCTGGCTTAGTGAAATTGTCAATACCTGGCCCTTGATCAGCCCGATATCCTCATCTTCACTTCTATAGCAGCCTTCTGGCTAGAGATGATGTAAAAGTGACATGAAACCGTTATCTCCCCAGCATAACATGACAGGTACCGTGTGCTGTTATTTTTGACGTGGCAGATGTTTGCCTGATGTTCTCTATTGGCAGCACAGCACCAGGCTTCTCACCCTCACCGGAGATAAATGAATTCATTAACCACTTTAGCCCAACAGCCAGCAGGTACCATGGGACAGCAAAATCAGGCCTCTAGGGTAGCAGTATCATGCATATCTAGGTTGTTTCCTATCACAATGCTTTCCTATAATGACCACAAATGTGCTCAGGATACCCCTGGCAGCTTTAAAAGAGATGAAATAGAGGAAAAAAAAAACAAGATCCCCACAAAACCTCTGTATACATCCTGATAGCAGCAGAGCCCTCCATATGCATACATAACAGACACCAGCAGCAGGGGGTCTGTGCATTTAAAGGAAGATTCAACTAGACCCTGCTTTGAAAAACGGTTCAATCTATTTTAATGATTGGTTAGCTTCCTCACATCAAAGACAACCCAAACACACACTCTTGATTGGCTGATGGCTAGTCCAAAAAAAAAAAAAAAAAAGTTTGCTCTGTGCAGGATCAAACAGTGGATGAGAGTTAGGAAGACAGAATCATCTAGTTGTGATCTGGGGATGATAGGATCCACTGAAGGCTGCCACTAACTGCAGACTCAAACCTCATGGCTTCTCTGGTCATTCTTAACAGAGAGAACACTTTACAGGCTTTTTTACAGGTAAGAAATCATTCCTTGCCATTCAGATATATAATATACTTTGTAGCAAAATTAAGGTATGTGTGTTTTTTTTTTTTTTTTTTTTTTTTTTAATCTATATATACAACTCCTTTTTTTTTTTTTTTTTTTTTTTTTTTTTGCTAGATAGAATCTAAACTGTTTACGTGCTTCATGCGTATTATCAGACACAGGTATTTGCGATTCCCTTTAGCTGCTCCTTAAAGGGAAAGCCCTTTAAGACTTGACCGGTGATAGGAAGATTATGGCACAGGTAGCAATGTCTGGGATAGATGCACAGCAAAGTTCATGCTTTAACTAATAATTTATACTGTTTATGAAAAAAATAAACTGGCACTGAAAAAGACAGGTTGCTATGGGCAACAGCTCTTTTTTTTTTTTTTTTTTTTTTGTCCCATTAAAGGAAGTCTTGTGAAATGCGTGTTGAACTGCCTTTTTATGTATAGGCTACATCAAAAGTCAACATTTGAATATTTTTTATTATGATAGGAGAGTTGCACTAATGCCTATTTTTTTTATTATGCAATACATTGTGTATTTTTATGCAGCACACCTGTACAGCGTGAACAGGGCACATGGAAAACAATACTTTTCTATATGTCCTTGCATTGAGCTTGTGTCGATCAATGCACAGCTTAGCAGACATGGTATGAACAAGCCCTAAAAGATGTCAATGCATTTCTGAGTGTGCCACTTTTTATATTTTAATCAAAATCAAGTTGGCAACCAAAAGGCATTCCCTTTCCTCAACATAGCACAGATAACATGGCATGCTGGTTTTAGTAGTGCAGCAGTAGATGAATAGTATTTTTCAGGATTGTATTTTTATTTAGCAATATGACATATTAGCAGGAGTGACGTTCAATCACTCAATCTCCACTCTCAGCTCTGTGTCACCTGTAACTAACCAGGTCTTATCACTCCATAAAGGGAATGCACACATAGTGGGACTTGCACCACAGCATGGCTTTTACTCCTGGCAACCTGTCAAGGCTTTTTTTTTTTTTCTTGTTAAATTGGAAATGGATCAATCAGCTTGATTGCTATAGGCAACAGCTCCACTTACATAGTCAGTAAAGTTGAATAAAGACACTGGTCCGTCCAGTCAGTTCCACTTGTACTATAGTTTTATAAACCAGGAGGAATGTGTTACACCAACTGGCAGTAAGGCAGGCTCTTATTATCATCAAATTGTTTACAATGGCATCACATTGCTATATTCCCTACTTTCTGTTAAACTACAGTGTCCCAAAAGTCGCCATACATGGGGGGGGAATGGGAAATTGAAGCTAAAAGGCCACCTCTTTCTACACACACACATACATAGATACAAAGCTTTCTCCCCCACCATACATTAGGAGTTTAATTTTTTTTCTTATGGAGACTTTTTGGGACACCATGTATATGTACCACTTTCAATCTTAAAAGCAGAAAAAAGTGGTAAAGGGAATTATCTTTTAAGTTGCCCTGCTTATGTGGATCATATTGATTTAAAATGTAGCAAAAGATATAGGTTGGCTGATGCTGTGTACAAATACTTTTTTGCAGTTTTTTTAATTGCACTTCTCCACATTTCAGAAACTATGTGAATTATATAGGTTTGCATTGGTAATAAAGGTTTGCCAATACCCTCAGTCTCAACAGGAAAGAACATT